ACAAGCGAAAATTTTTAATAAAACCGCCCGATTTTTTTATTAAAATTTTTTATAATTTATCGAAGTATTGATTTTTATGAAAAAAGCGCCGCAGGCGAAAATTTGTAGTTGTTGGTAGAGTGAATTTCTTCCAGGTGAGAGTATCCACTCTACTTCTTCGGGAAATTTAATCGCGGTTTTGTTTAAGAACCAGTTATCGTTTGTTGCGATTCTCAATTTTCTCATTAGAGCCGCAACCTCGTGGCGGCTTTGCTGACCACGGCTGTTAGCGCAGTTGAATAAAAAATACAAATTTTTAATAGCACTACTTCGTCTTAACTTTATTTAGCGTTTATTGTTCTTCAGTGTAGTTTTTTACTATGTTAATTAGCAATTAACAAAACTAGCGGTTTTACAATTTTAGCAACTTACTAAGCGATTTTTAGCGCTTTAAAATATTTCGTGTATTTAGTGTGCCTCTTTGACAACAAGAGGTGGCCTGTTATTCTAAGAACCGCTTTTTATACTTTTGTATGTACACTACAAGTACAAGAATATAACCCTCAATATCAAAATATAAAATTTACTTACAATCATCGCATTCATACTAAAATATCCTTTTCTGTTGAAGAATAAATGTTCATTGTTATGAGGTTTAATTATTTGAATATGCGTCCCATCGATACATCCAACGATGCAAGGAATTTTGAATTTGTTGTAAAAAATAATCCCTCGACGCTGTTTTTTCGTCTGGATCCATTTTCAACTTGACCCATTGAAGGCAAATGTGATTCTCCAAAAGTCTTAACATTTGTGTTAAAATTTCAGATACAGTGCTTCTATCCAAACTTATATTCATATCATTCCCTGCGGAACGCTAATATGATCCTTCTGCTAGGAAGCGAAGCACTGCGCACAACTTAATAATTGGCGAAATGGAAGTTCGTTGTATATACCTTTCGATAGTATTTAGAACCATTACAAATGCCTCTTTTTTTAACCGATAATGAGCTACAAATCTGTAAGGACACAAGTATGCTGCCTCAAATGACAACACTTATTTGCGTGTATACTTAATGCTTTGCTCTTGCTTACACAGACTCCGGCAGCTTCAGAGGATTGTTGTGATCTCGTAAAACTGGGAAAATTTTCCAATACGGAACCCGGCTTTTAAAAAAAACAAAAATGAGGGGGTTTAGAGCGGCTTTTTGTGATTGTAAATCTGAAAACCCCACCCTCCGGAGGCTTATAGTTTTTATGAAAATTGAATTTTAAGTTGCAAAAAATGTCAACTTCAACCTCACTTTTTGCTTTGTAAACCAATTGTACTACAATGTCGGTGCTGCCACACAACAAAAAATGCCCACAAAAAAGCACTGAAAACGAGAAACAATAAAAACGGGCATTGTAATTAACTTTTTTTTTAAATTAAATAGCGATGTATTGATCAAAAAAAGTGATTCAGTCTAAAATCGAGAGATTTTGTAATAAAAATGTTAACTTAGGTATTTATCGAAGTATTGATTTTTATGGGAAAAGCGGCACAAGCGAAAATTTTTAATAAAACCGCCCGATTTTTTTATTAAAATTTTTTATAATTTATCGAAGTATTGATTTTTATGAAAAAAGCGCCGCAGGCGAAAATTTGTAGTTGTTGGTAGAGTGAATTTCTTCCAGGTGAGAGTATCCACTCTACTTCTTCGGGAAATTTAATCGCGGTTTTGTTTAAGAACCAGTTATCGTTTGTTGCGATTCTCAATTTTCTCATTAGAGCCGCAACCTCGTGGCGGCTTTGCTGACCACGGCTGTTAGCGCAGTTGAATAAAAAATACGAATTTTTAATAGCACTACTTCGACTTAACTTTATTTAGCGTTTATTGTTCTTCAGTGTAGTTTTTTACTATGTTAATTAGCAATTAACAAAACTAGCGGTTTTACAATTTTAGCAACTNAAATTTTTAATAGCACTACTTCGTCTTAACTTTATTTAGCGTTTATTGTTCTTCAGTGTAGTTTTTTACTATGTTAATTAGCAATTAACAAAACTAGCGGTTTTACAATTTTAGCAACTTACTAAGCGATTTTTAGCGCTTTAAAATATTTCGTGTATTTAGTGTGCCTCTTTGACATGAAGAGGTGGCCTGTTATTCTAAGAACCGCTTTTTATACTTTTGTATGTACACTACAAGTACAAGAATATAACGGATGTGAACAACAAAAGAATATGATAGCAAAAATGTCATTTTAAATAAGAGTAAACAAGAACTCAAAAAAAAAATGATAATATCGTAATGTGTAAAGATGGCCAGGTTGCTTCGACTGACGGCGGTAACAACGGCGTTCCTGCGCCGTTCATATATTCAATATATGCTGCATTCAGTGCTCCGCAGACACTTTCCTTCTTCCGCTGCTCGCGCCGAATAGAAAAATTGGCAAGAATAAACAAATTTTCGTACAACACTATACAAATCCTCTAGTCATCAATAGGATCTTTTTAATTTTGACTGGTAAATCAATTTTGCTTAAAGCTGGTTTTCATTAGGTCAAAATCACTGACATCAAAAACTGCCTTCATCTGACAGCTGTTCATTTGGTGTCAAATGCGTTTACATTACATTTTAAAAACTGACCAAATGTCGATACCGCAGTGCATGTCAAAGAC